TATGGATGAGCATATCATGGAGATTTTCGTCATAGAGGACATATCCTACTTTACGCTTCCAAGATGAGTAGTTGCTCCCATCAAATCTTTCTGATTTCAAGAGTTCGGCTATAAAACTCTTTGTGGTCATGACTATTGAATCAAATTACAACAATAATAATGAATACAAAAAATTAGAAATGACAACAATAAGTCTTAGCTCTGATACCAATGAAAGGTGGACTATGTGACAGGGCAAGTCAATACCGATTAAAATTTTTCTATCTTTTCTTATTGTATTGTCATCCGAATCACTCATAGGTGTCCAAATACAATATAAACCAAATAAAATTGCCAAGAACTCTCACTTTTTTGCATTAAAACAAATTACATAAAAGGAGCAATGAAATCAAGTAAGCAAGTAAAAAGAAGATACTGCATGCCTTTGCCTCATGTTACCCCCGAGGATTTCGTACACCCCACACCAGGTCTCCTCCACCAATGGCACATGGGATCTTGGTTCAAGATCTCATCTCACAACTTGGGAAACCTAGGCAAAAACCAGCGTATAGCATAGCAGGGGATATCCTTGATCAAGGCTCAACACGGCATAAGGTCAAGACCTAGGACTAGGCTATGTGGTTTGGGTGTGCCACCCCTTAGGGTTTGTTTTACTTCTTAAACCCTAATCTTAGAGAGAGAAGTTTAGAAAGGGGCATACCACCCCCTTGAGGCTCATAGGTAGAGAGAGAGATAGGGTGTAGGGAATGAAGCCCCCCCACATAGCTAGTTTATATAGAATGAAGGCTAGGGTTAGGGTTTTGCCATCATTATGAGATTTAATTTTGACCTTTGATCTTGGAGACCTGTAGGGTGAAGAGATCTCATCAATTCATTCTTTAGATCAACCATCATGATTGAAGGATTGAGACGAAACCATTAACCCTCAGTTTCCATAACTCCATTCACATTAAATATTGTGTAGAGAAAGTATTAATTCTATTTCCTTTATTTTCTTACACTTTCCCTTTTTGAAAACAATCAAAATCTCTACACAAAAGGTTTCCTAAAAGTTTTAAGTTAACACATGGCTTAGTTGCCATATTTCAATTTTAAGAAAGCATGGAGGACGTGGGATGCCCATAGGGTGGCCATGAGAGGCCCACTCCCCATATATTGGTGGGCCCAATAAGCCCCAATTGGCCCCCAATGTCTTATAACATTATTTTCAAATAATAAAATAATTTCATAAAGCCTTTAAATATTTTATTTTTCTTTCTGATTAAAATAAATCCAAAAAATCGAATTTTCTTTATTTAAAAATTATTTGCCAATAAAATAAAATACCTAAAGAGGTCTAAAACATAATTATCTTAAAAATGATTAAAACATATTTTAACATATCTAAGAGGATTTGATGGGAATTGAATCCATAGAGTTAGGATTACGAGAAAAATACTGAGGACTCCATCCTCTCTAGAGATCGTATCTCACTGCACCTTCTCAAACTGGCCCAATAGTTCGCAAGACCCATAACCCTTCACAAGGGTTCATGATGGGACTATCAATGTCTGCCAATAAATGAAAGAGATACGATCCTAGTCCAGGATTTCAGTAGTATACTCCATGGGTCCTTCCAACACAGTCAAAGTGTTGCAGGGAGTCATCTCTTCTGCACATATACACGTCACACATCCTTATGCAAAAGCACCACTTCCCTGACGACTATCTAGTGTACATGCCGTGTGATTGTAATGATGAGGATTTAGGTCATTGTCCTCTCAAGCCATCCCTCACACACAAGGGTCAAATCCATGGCCTCTGTTCAACTGTCCTGGGCACATTTTCGACCTCATCAAGGGATAAGCCCACATCAAATAGGGTGTGTTCGCAGTCGCACAATGCCCAGGACTATGGGGTTTTTGAACATCACATTGAGCCATAGTCAATCAAAGCTCAGGTGAGTCTAGGCATCAAAAATGCATCATAGTCCAATGTGGAGCACACTCCCACTGGAGCCAACATTTCACTACATGCTCTCATAAGGCCTTTAAATGGCCACATAACCCCAATAGTAAAATAGTAGGTCCTGGGCTTCAATATCATCTTCGGCCCTCCTAAAGGAAGGACTCCTTACCACACTTTGACCTAGTATTTCATAACAATCCTTGATGATCACCTCATTGTTTGTTGGGATAGGGAAAAATCAAGGCCATAGCTCTTGCAAGGTCCTTTAACCAACCAAAGGTCCTCTAAACCGAATTGGGTGGCATGAATTTGGGTGACTTTGGGAGACACCCTTCGAAGAGCCTGATGCACATCAATTGACGACTTCCTTAGGAAACCAGCTTGTAGGATCCATCCCATATTTGTGGCAAATGAGGGAGAAACATAAATGGTCCAGGTGGTAAGTGGAACACCACTACCACTTTCCAAGTAGCGCGAGGTTGTTGTCTCTTAGCTTCCTAATCCCCATCCCTCCTTCCTTTTTGGAGCAACACACCATATTTGTCAGGATATTCAAATCTACGTATCAATCCCGCTTTGGAATCTTGCTTCAGCATTTTAAGAAAGGTAAGTTCAAGGGATCTCAAGTTTTAAATTTTGGGATCTCAATCCCCACTGCTAGGGGTCAATAATTCAATAATATCAGGGATCTCGATCTCTTTTCTAAAGACCAAGATAATGACCAAATTGATGATTTTCTTTATTTATAGTCAGCAAGCAATAATGCAACTATACTTTTAATGTAGTTGCATTTCTTGCTAGCTATAAATATAAGGATCCTTATTTAAAGATTATCTATTGTTCTCTAGAATATATATATATATATATACAAAGTTCAAAGTTCATCGAAAATGAACAGTGATTTCCTCTACCCTCATCACCGTCCAAAGTTCATCGTACTGTCACACTTTTTTCGATAGTGTTTCATTTTTCATTTGTTTTCTACAAATCTGAATGACCTGAAATTTGGGGCGTGTGTACATCTTAGTGAGGCGCACCTAATAAAAATATAAAAAAAAATAATTCACGAAAAAAATTGATCAAAATACCCCTGAAACATTTCGGGGGTATTTTGGTCAAATTTTTCATGTAAAATATTTTTTTGATATTTTTTGTAGATTTGCCTATTTTTGATGAACACGAGTTTCAAATTTTAAGTCATTCTGATTTGTAGAAAAAAAATTAAAAATAAAACACTACAGAACAATTGTGATCGTGCGATGAACTTTGGACGGTGATGAGGGTAGGCGAAATCACTGTTTATTTTCGCCTATAGGCGTTTTGTAGTATCTTCCAATATATATATATATATATATATATATATTCGCAGCAAGATACCTAAAAGGTTGGGGATAAATAACCTAAATGGTCAAGATCGAGATCCCCAAACTGTTGGGATCTAGATCCCTAACATTTGGGATCTAGATCCCTAACATTTGGGATCTTGATCCCTAATATATGCATTTTACGGACCACGCACCTAACCGTTGGGATCTTCTAGCCTCTCATGATCCCTAGTTTTCGATCTTGTTCCTGCTCTCAATCCTAAGAAGTAGGCAACATACCTTATCCCAGGTTGTTTGGTGGAATTTTGTCGGTGCCCATCATTTCTGACCAGAAGAAGAGGCTTTTGATATAGACATGGAATAGTGACATTTGGTAAATTGGGATGTTGGAGAGGGATGCTTTTATTAGGATGATTCTCCCCTCTGAAGAAATCTTTGCTGATGATGAATTTTTTGAAAGTTGTATCCCAGAAATGTTTGCTAGGTTTTCAATTGCAAAGTGGCAGGCCTAAATATTTGGATGGTAAGGGCTCAACTGCGCAGCCCTATCTGTGAAAGTTGTCTACCAGAAATGTTTGCTAGGTTTTCAATTGCAAAGTGGCAGGCCCAAATATTTGGATGGTAAGGGTTCAACTGCGCAGCCCTATCTGTGGGTGAAATCGCTTGTTTAGGTCTGGAGCATTTGTTTTTTATTGCTGATGTAGTTAACAATAGAACATGCATTTAAAAATTAGAACATGCATTTAGCAGTTAACTCTATATAACACATAACATGGAAAACAATTTCATTGAAGTTATATTTTATTTTTGGAAAATGTTTTGCTTAGTTCGAAAAATTTAAGTTTGTGTTTATATGTATAATACTGTCATCTCCCTACTTTAGATCTCTCTGTTTCTAAAAGTTTGCTTTGTCTATTTCTATACCTTTTATATGGCCTCTCTCAAAAGAATATATCTAGCCTGATTGGTCCCTGAGTTAACTGCTTTTGAATCTTTAGACTGTTGACCTTGATCAGATCTGAGAAGTTAATGGTGTTGTAAAGAAAGTGATGTATTCTGAATGTTCTTGTTTACTTTCCTTTTTCTTTTCCTTTTTTGTCTACCAAGATGAGCTGCAACTGACTTTGCAGGTGGTTTATACTTTGCAGCTAACTTTAAAGGATCTGTTTCACTTGATTTGATATTGATCCCACGTTGACTTATGTGCTTGTGAATTATGAATCTGTTAACCTTGTTCAAATCTGACAAAACTATGAAATTCTTCTTGTAAGAAAAGCTGTTCATTCTGAATGATGTTGTAAACTGTATTTTTGTAGCTGCAATAAAAGAGAGAAGTAATATTACAGGTCTTCTGACAATTTGTGGCTAACTTTGTAGTACATAAATAAGCTCAATTGTACCATTCCTTGTTTGGTAGCATTCTGTTTCATTGGATGTTGAATCCCTTGGTTGTCTTGGGTGTTCCTTGATCATATGTAAAACCAATGAACCTTAATGAAATGTTACCAATTCCTGTTTTCTTAAACAATCTGCTTGTTTTGTATGTTCTTGTTTACTTTAACCTTTTTAGTATTACCCCAGTGAACAGCAATTGATATTACAGATCTTTCATGTTTTGCAGACAACTTTGGAGTTCATGTATATGCTTGATCCTACTTGTCATTTTTGTTTCTTATCTTTGATAGATAGGTTACAGAGTCTAACAGTGTCTGGTGTGTGGTCCTGTAGGTTTTATGAAGCAGTTGTCAAATTGCCACTGCGAAAGGCTCAGGCTCTTGATCCTGATGGGGATGCTCTGAATGATCAAATTGATGCTAACCGGAGGGAAAGTGCTCTGGCTCTTCGTGAGCAGTGCTATGAAGTTGTCACCAATGCACTCCGTTCTTTAAAGAGTGGAAACGAACCAAAAGGAGTGGCAAGAGAGTTTGGCTCTCCCGTTAAATCTGTCAATAGAAGGGTAGTTGTTGATCAGGCTTCTCAAGACAAATATGTGCGCCAGATTGCTCAACTGAGTGTTCAGTGGCCTGACAAAGCCTTTCATGAGCATTTGTACCAAACAATGATCGATCTAGGACTTGAGAATGAATTATTGGAATACGGGGGACCAGATTTGGTACCTTTTCTGCAGGCTGCAAGTCGGGACACAGGGGCTCAGGTCTGTGGCATCTCAACACCTGATAAAAATACGAGACATTGTTTTACAAGTTTCAACTTCTACAGTGGTTCTTTATTGATCTTTGTTTAAATTCTGAAGTTTCTTATGCTGCTTAGTTGAGTCAGGCTTTTGAAGATATGTGAATACAATTTACTATTGAATGTTTAAAATGCATTTGAATAATGTTATACATCTGTGACAAACAAAAAGTAAATCATGTCATTTTTTTTCGATTCCATTATTTCAATGTTCTGTAGGCAGGGGTTGTCTCAGCAACAAATCATGTGTCCTCCCCTGGGGGCCATGTTACTTCCAGCAGTGCGAAGTATCTCGAGCTTCTAGCTCGGTATTATGTCTTAAAGAGGCAGCATGCTCTTGCGGCTCATATATTGTTGAGACTGGCTGAAAGGCGTGGCACAAGAGATTCCCTCACCCTGGGGCAGAGGTGATGAGAAATGACTTGTCTTAGTTACCTTTGATTAACCTTATGCGTCTTTTTTGTTCTTGCATGTTTTTTATGGGTTTATAATTTACTTCTACTATTGGCAATTGATTACTTCTTATAATGACGATGATCACTGGCAATTAATTACTTCTTATAATAATTGCTTTGGTTCATGGAGTTAGGCATCAGTATCTCAGTAACGCAGTGCTTCAAGCAAAGAGTGCATGCAGCATTACTGGTGCAGTAAATTCAAAGGGAGGCATTGTGGATCGTGGTTTACTAGATCTGCTTGAAGGCAAACTTGCTGTTCTTCGATTTCAAATGAAGATCAAGGGAGAACTTGAAAGTATGGCATCAAGAATTGAAAGTTCATCTGGAGTTGCCCCAGCTCCTGTCCCTGATGACCCGTTTCCTCAAAGCAACCTAATGACAGGTGTGAATTATGCAAACACTGCTAGAGATAAGGCCAAGGAGCTATCTCAAGACCTGAAGAGTATCACACAACTATACAACGAGTATGCAGTCCCATTTGAGCTTTGGGAGGTGATTTTCTATCTTTATTTTGAGTACCAACTGCTTGATAGGTGCCATTATTAGTCTGTTTCCTTTTCTTTGTTAATTTAAAATGTTTTATAGTATAGACAAGCACACAATACTAATGACATTCCTGATAAATCTATAAGCATCCTAGAATTCAAGGGGTCATACAAAGTCACTAACCTATTTTCTCATAGAAAGAATGTGTTATATATGTTTGATGGATTGACACTGCTCTTCTTTGAACTTCAAAATGCATAGGAGGCAGATGTTCAGATCATAGTTACTGGGATGAGAGATTAGGAAGCGAAACGAGATACAGAAATGACAAATCCGAAGCGAGATACGGAAATGACAAATCCGAAGTGAGATACGGAAATGACAAATCCAACTTAAATTATTTAGGGGAAACAAGAAGCGATTGAACCCTTACAAAGGGTTAGAGAGGCATCGAGAAACAAGTTGTGAAATGCCTAGGAAGGGTGTGATTGCATGTTGGAAGCAAGTGCATAAACATGCAGGGAAACTTTTGGATGCAGGTTTATAGAGCAGATTACTGGTGCTCGGATAGAATATATGTATCAAACATTATACATGTGTAGAAACATTTAGCTCATGTATTTCATTATTTGGATAAATCTGCTTATCATACAGATACAGATACATTGAAGGTAGTAAATCACTTTAGCTTATCATCTCTCTCTCTCTCGCACTATCAATGTTCAAGAAATCAGAAATGGGTGCCCAGGTGGTTGGAGTGCCCAATTGCTCAGGGTGAGGGGGGTGTGGATTGGGTCGGTTTAGGGGTGTCAAATGGAAAATAGCAAACAAAATAAATAAATAAAAAGCAATGTAAATCCAACTAAAAAAAGAAACAAGCATAATAAAAAGCATATCATCATTAATGTAAACCCAAACTTCAAAAATAAACACATGAAAATGAAAAATAATAATTAATAACATAACACGATACTCAATAAATACGAAACCCTAAACATAAACCATTAAATTTACTAACCTTTCAAAAAACCAATAGAAGTAGGCTTGAATTGGTGACTTTCAGTTGCCAGAATCTCTATTTTGCAACCTCTTTAATCCCTAAAACGTTTCCGGTGGCATGCCTCCCGAGTTTCAATTCTGCAAGAAACCAAAAACTAACAAATTCAGTCGCGATCTTTAATTTTTTGAATAAAAAAAAGCTTTTTGGGAGAAAATAGGGTTTATTAGTTTTGGGGCCCCAAATGCCCCCCAAATACAACTTCGCCCCTTTCAAGGGGGAAAGGACATTTTTTCCCTATTGGCAAGGCTTGGGCACCAGCCCTAGGCGGGGCTTTGGGTGACTAGTTGGCCGCTCATGGCCACCGTCCTGCACTGGGCCAAATAGTCCCAGTCCTCAAGCTGACCAGCCTAGGCAGCTGGTAGCCGACTTTTGAACATAGTGCACTATAATTTACTATTTCTCCATTTCCTCGCACATGCACATGGATGTTTAATTTGACACATATCCAGAGATGCAGAGGAATTCATAAGCTTTCCGACTGTTCATGATATTTCAATCGGTGACCTATGACCTGAATACTAAACAAATATAAATACCAGCCAAGTCCTTATTGAGTTTACAAATCATTTCCCAAATGTTTTGCATGTGTATGCTTCACCCATATTCACGTGCGTTTCACCATTGTTTTACGTGCACTTTGCATACGTTTCATTGCACTTCTCATGTATTTCGCCTACTTTTCGAAGTTTGAGTTGCTGCCGCTTCGGAAGCACATGTCACCCCTCCCATAGGCACTTCTTGTAACTATGGTTTGGATATTATTTTGAGAGATGTTCTAAGTTGTAATCTTATAGTTTGACTCACTCAATTTTCTTATTCTTCTAGAGCGACTTGATTGTGTTTATAAGGTAGTCGCAGTCTCCTAGTCAGTTTAAATCTCCTAGTCAATGTAAATGAAATTCTGATTATGCTTTTTCTCTACAAAATGTTTTGATGACTTATAAGATAGCTAACTTATGAGTGGTTAGAGGGTGTTAGGGTTGTAGTTTTTAATACCTCAATTTTCTTATTCTTCTGCAGCGGCTTGATTGTGTTTATAAGGTAGTCGCAGTCTCCTAGTCAATGTAAATGAAATTCTGATTATGCTTGTTCTCTACAAACTGTTTTGATGATTTATAAGATAGCTAACTTATGAGTAGTTAGAGGGTGTTAGGGTTGTAGTTTTTAATACCTCAGTTGGCAGTTTGTAATGTTAGAGACCTCGTAAACTTGTATGAAATCATGCTTTGAAAGGTTTGCTTATTCTGGGATTCATCTAGTATTCCTTATTTTTCTATGTTGCTCATGTTTGCAAATACTGTCCCAGACCTTTTTAGATATTTTTTTGTACCTTTTCTACATTGCTCATGTAGCATGTTCGCAACTACTGTCCTACACTTTTTAAGATATTCTTTTGTACCTTTTCTTATTTGTTGGAATAATTTGCAAAATATGTGGTGTCCTGGTCTGTTGTATCCAGCACATTTTTTTACTGTTGTCCTGATTTAAAATATTGTTGGGCTCTGGTTTCCCTCTTCCTGCTGCTGTTTGCACAATACAAGTACATGTCGCTGTAAACTTCATCCCTGTTAACATTTTCTCTTCCTGTTGTACTTCAGATATGCCTGGAAATTCTCCATTTTGCAAACTATTCTGGAGAAGCTGATACTAGTATTATTCGAGAAACCTGGGCAAGACTTCTTGATCAAGCTCTCTCAAAAGGTGGAATTGCAGAAGCTTGTTCAGTATTGAAGAGGGTGGGATCCCAGTTGTATCCTGGAGACGGAACTAGCTTGCCCCTGGATACAATATGCCTGCACCTTGAAAAATCAGCAATGGTGATAATTTTAACTCTTCTTTTTGTTTCCTCTATAATTAACTGTCATTTCTTACTGAATACAAGTTGTACAAATTGTAGAAACTGAGATGCATACACAGAATAGCGAGAAGAGAGAACACCAGGAGCTATACAATTTCTGAGATTAGTGGAGGCCATCATCATCTAGCTATTATGAACCACCCTGACTATGTCATCCCTTTGGTTTCCTTCCCTGGCTTATCCGTCTGCTTATGGCCTCCCCGAGAACATGCTTGAGTTATATATGTTATGTGAGTTAGCCATAAACTTGATGTCCTCAACTAATCCGTTGTTCTCCATGGGTATCTTCTCTTCCCACTCAGTATTGTGATGTAGGGAACTTGACAGAACAGTAAAATTAGCAAGAAATCAAGCCAAACACTAGCAATAACTAGGACAACCTTTGGGTTTCTTCCTCATACCTAGGGTTCAAAAGCCTAGAACTTTCAATTTTTCTTTTCTGGAAGCAAAGTCATGTGGAATGACCACTCTAGGCCCCAAGCGCCTCTTAAATAATAATATTTAATATTCAAGGACATTAAATGTGTCCATAAAATAATTAAAATGACCCCTAAATTTTTTACTTAAAAAAAAAATCGTGATGACACTTTTAATCCCTAATAAAACGAATAATTCCATTAGTATTCTAACTATAAACATCTCCCGAAATCCTAAAAATTATTAAAACTTAATCCCTAAAAATCTTAAAAACCCTGAAAAAATAACCCAAAAAAAAATTCCAAAAATACACTTAAACAAAAAAAATTTAAAAATAAGAGGCATCTTGTCGTGCGTTTTTGTCACTAGGTTGGAGAAAACTCATCATCGAGTTCTGAAAGAAGCTAAGATAGATTTTATGTTAGTTTCACAACATTCTTCAATCTGAACATTATGCTTTGAATACTTAGACCTGTGGGTTATTGGCCCAATCAAAACACAATGCTTATGCATTGAGACTAGGGCTTTGAAATCAATTGACATATTCATAAAATGTTTTTGTTTAGCTAGGCACTTGTTAAAATTGCTTTAGTTTAGCCATATAACTCTGCTGAAATTGCTTAGGCTTAGCCCTAAAATACACTACGGGTGCATCTTCGAGTACGCATTGGAGTCGATAACTAAACCAGCAACTTCACCTATTGATTCTCTTTAGAGCCCTTCATCTTTTTATTTATCAAAGATCGGTTTAACCATGAAATCTTTTTCATCATGGTAGATTTGATCTCTTACAAGATCTTCTCCTTCATCTAAGCATGTATCCATGATTGGTGGCAGATCCCAATCTACAATCTGTTGATTTTTTATAAAACATGTGTCAAAATAAGGTATATCCACCTTCAAATCGACACCCCCAATACGACGCCCCCCACGTCTAGGCTTCCTGTCGCCATCTTCATCACTCGACTCATGATTAAATTCGATTTCTTTTTGGGCTGAAAGATCACCATCTTACTCATGATTAAAACCCACGAACTGCTGTGTTAGCTGCTGAATTCCTCAATTTCTTCGTCTTTGGGATCACGAAGTTGTTCAATGAAAGCTCCCCTTCCGTGGTCCCTTCTTGCTGCCATATGTTTGCCCAAATCACAAACACTAGGTAGAGAACGACAAAAACCTTGCTGAAAACAACAAGTTCTAGGCTGATTTGGTAGAATTTGGCCCAGAGTCAACAAACCCTAGACTTGGCTATAGTTTTCGGGTTTTTGTTGTTGAAGTAAACCTGGGCTTTGATACGAAATTGATGTATGAGAATCGATAGAACAGTACCAATCAGTAAGAAATCAAGCCCAACACTAGCCATAACTAAGACAAAAGTGGGGTTTCTTCCTCGCACCCAAGTTAGGGTTCAAAAGCCTGGAGATTTCACTCTTTCTTTTTTGAAAACAAAGTCAGTGGAATGACCCCTCTAGGTCCCACCTACCTCTAAAATAATAATAAATAATTTTCAAAGACATTAAATGTCCATACAATAATTAAAATGACCTGCAAAGTCCTAACTTAAAAGCCGATACGTGATGACCCTTTTACCCAAATAAAACTAGTAATTCCATAATTATTTTGAACCATTTTTTAAACGTCTCCTAATATCCTAAAAAATTATAAAAATCCCTAGAGTCCCTACATAAACATAAAAACCCTAAAAACAACCCTAGAAAATTTGAAAATACATCCTTAAAATTTAATAAAAAAATTCAAATATAAGATGCATCTTGTCTTCCATCATACTGATTACATCGAGAGGATTTCCTTATGCAATTATAGGGCCCAAGTATCCTCTGCGATAATTCCCTGGTAAGCTCTTTAACTCAGTATAATCACAAATTCCTATTTGTCCCAGGATGGTCATTCTCACGTCCCCCAAATTGTCCTTAAGAATACCTCCAATCAAACCTGGGTTTCTCATGGAGGTACTATCAAAGTTAAGCTTAAGAGTACTTCATGTGGGGGTTCCCTCCAAGTGACAACTAGATGAACTCTTGCTAAATGATCTCCAATCTCTTAAAGAAATCCTATGGTCATCATCATCATCAGAACCTTTTCCTAACTATTTGGAGTCAGCTACACAAATTCTAGTGTGCCATTCTGTTTTATTAAGGGCCATACCTTCGGTGAGGCCATAAGTGCCCATTCCAATTATATCCTTTTGGGCCCTACCTCTTGCCCTTTTGAGCCTTCCACTTGTACTAACATGTACCTCCTAACAGTGTTGTACTGGGTTTGCGCTGCACATGGCCAGCCCACTTTCTAATTTGTCTCATCGTATCTCCTATTGGTGCCACACCTAAATTCTATCGAATGTATTCATTTTGAATTCTATCCCTTCTTGTGTTGTCACTCATCCATCTCAACATCCTCATCTCAACCTACACTTATTCTATGGGTATCTTGTTTCTTGACCGCCCAATATTATGGTCTCACAGCTGTCTTATAAAACTTGCCCTTTAGCTTCATTGGTATGCAACGATCACATAAAATTCTGGTTGCACATCTCCATTTCACCCACACAACTCTAATTCTATGTGCGACATCTTCCCGAATCTCTCCATTTTTCTTGATTATCGACCCAAGCTATCGAAAGTGCGCTTTTTTTTTATTTCTTAGCTTTAATCTTAACTACTTCCTCGTCTCTACTCATGTTATTACTGAACTTGCATTTCATATACTTTGTCTTAGTACAACTAATTTAAAAACAGTTAGATTCTAAAGCATTCATCCAAAGTTCTAACTTTATGTTGATGCCATTTTAGTTCTCATTGATCAAAACTATGTTGTCTCCTAACAACATAGACCTTGGTATCTCATCTTGTAGGTGCCTAGTTAAGTCGTTCATAAGTAAGACAAAGAAGTATGGGCTCAATACTGACCTTGATGTAGACCTATTGTCGTTGAAAACTCACTCGTCTCTCCACTAGTTGTTCGCATACTAGTTAGCCTTCCCTCATACACATCTCTCACCAAGTCGATGTAGTGTTTGAAGACTCATTTCTTTTCCAACACCTACAAAATCGAATATTAGATACTCAATCATAAGCTTTCTCTAGATCAATAAAGACCATATGAAGGTCTTTTACCTTCGCCCTGAACTTCTCAATCAGTTGCCTAAGTAAGAAAATAGCCTCAGTTGTTTTTCTCTCTGGTATAAAATCGAATTGATTTTCTGATATACTCGTTCATGTCTGAGTTGTTGCTCAATTACTCTCTCTCACAACTTCATAGTGTGGCTCATAAGTTTGATCCCTCAATAGTTCACACAATTCTGTATGCATAGTTTCAGAAAGCGCTAGGCGGGTCTTGGGCGGTCTGAACCCCCCAGGCCGCCCAGCGCCTAGGCGGGCGCCCAGAACCTGGGCGGTCCAGCTAAATCCAAATAAGGATTCTAGCATTCTACAGTTATATCAGTATCAGTTATATGTATTGCAGTACATAATTCAAATTATACTACATATTATTTAGCATGTAGCACACTCCATAAGCATAACCATAATCCATAAGTCGGTTCGTACTCATATCCAATTAAAACTTAAAATTTTTCAACCAACTAAATTGTCAAACCAAGTTATCAAATAGTATCACACCAGTACTGCAGTACACCACCATGAGGAAGAAAACAATCTATTTTGGGTACCTTTGAGTAATCCTTCGATCCTAAAAAATACCACACTCTAGTTTTTTGGGGGCTCTCTCTCTTTAAATTTGGCTCCAACAAGTTTTAGGTTTCAAATGAACCTAAAACCCTAATATTTGGCCCTTAAAAACAAAAAAAAAAAAGACGAAAAATGCCTTCTCACCAAATGGTTTTTCTGCCCCTGGGCGGGGCGTAGGCCCTGGGCGATCGCCAAGGGCTGGGCGCCTGCCTAGGCAGGTTCCGTACCGCCTAGGGATCGACTGCCTAGATTGGCCGCCTTGGCCCGGGCTACGCACCCAGGCTTTCTGGACCGCCTAGGCGTTGGGCGGTCCACTTTTTGAATCACTGTCTGTATGTCTCCTTTATTCTTGTATATAGATATCACAATACACTTTACCTCTAGTCATCTAGCTTTTTCTTTGCTCTCAACACGTTGTTGAACAGCTTGGTCAGCCAGTCAATGCCAAGCTCCCCATGCACTTCCAAACTTTTATCGGGATACCATTTGGTCTTAAAGCCTTTCCTATCTTCATCATCTTCAAAGCTTCTTTCACTTCTGATAGCTTAATCCTGTGAATGTATCTATGACCTCTGCCCTCAGTTATGCCAATAGTTCGTTTCTACAGCTATGTTCACATTGTGTTCGTCATTTAATAATTTTTGAAAATAACTTTCCACCTTTCGTTGACCTTTTCATCCTTCATCAAGACCCTTTGATCTCACTTTTAATGCATTTAATATGGTCTAGATCCCTACACATTTTCTATCTCATTTTTGCTTTAAAAATATCTTGTTCACCTTTTCTTGTTCTCAGATTACTATATAGATTATCATATACCTTAAGTTTAGCCTTA